GAGCGGCAAGGAACCTTAAACTCCGGTTGGCTTCCGGCGACCTTGCCTGGAAAGGACGAGTCTCTCTGTGAGCTCTACTTGGAGTCGATTCGAACCAAACCTCTAGAGTCGCCTCGAATCACGCCTCCCTAACGCAGCCCCGCGCGGCCGTTGAGCTTTTCACCTTCAATCTCGCCGCCGATGCTCTCTCAAACATCTCTACTCCTTACCGCACGTACTTGCCGGAGAGGCCTTTGTGGATGAAAACCTTCTACCTCTGCTATGCTGTGGCCGCCATTGATAACCACAGAACTTCCATATGTCACGCTCACGCAAAGGAGAAATAGAAAAATGACAACTTCCCTTCCAAAAAGGAAAAAATGACAACTTAATTTCAATGCTACCTTATTCAAGGGCAACATATATATTTAATAGATATAATAATGTTTATTTAATATAATATTATTTAATATATTTAATATATTATTATTTAATATATTATTACATGTTTTAAAAAATTAAACCACCAAACGCGCAGTTTCAATTTTTTTTAAAATTAAATAATTTTAAAATAAAAATAAAAACGTTTTCATTTTTTCATACCTGAAAAGCTCTTAATAAAATAAAATAAAAAATGAAAAGAAAAAACAACATAAAGAAACCGAAGAAACGAGAAAGAAGGCAGAAGGTAAGCAAAATGTGTCTAGAAAGTCAAAGACGGCCAGTCACGAGTGGCGTCATCAGTGAGGGAAGGTGGCAGATTCGTATGCGCCATGCGTCCCCATTATAAATATTAGAATTTACTTGTTTGGAGATTTTTGCCTTTAATTCCAAGTACCATTAACTTACGCTTTAAATCGGTCAAAAATTCATCAAAGCTTTTCCAGAGAAATCTCGCAAAGTCAAGAGTCAAGAAAGACGGGTGTGTATTTGTGTGCTTTTTGTTTGTGCACCATCAATTTCTTATCGTCTCTGAGTGAGAAAGGGAGACAACAAACAGATTTCCTTTCGGAGCTCCATTTTTGAACCATTTTGAGGTATTTTTGTGAAGATTAGTTTGTGTTCTGTGAATACTTTTTGAAGGTTTAAGGAAATTCCCAGAGCTTCTTCTAGGTGTTGGTTATATTGGTTTTTTTTTTTTGGTTTAATTCTCCTTGTGTCCTGTTTGGTTTTCATGTTTTTCTCGGGTATTATTTTGATGGGTTTTTCGTGTTGTTTAAAACTGAGTAGATTGTTTTCAATTAAATAGCTTTTGCTTTCTGTTTGTTTCATACTAGTGGGATAAGAAATGTATTTAAATAGCCACAATTAATTTATAGCCCTATCTTCCCCCTCCCTGATTCAATCAATTAATTAGGATTCTAGTGAGATTTTGGTTGTTTAAGAGGGTAATAAAAGTTATGATTTTGGAAGATTCTTTGAAGCAGTTTTTTTTTTTTTTTTTTGTTCTTTTTTTTAAGGAATTTTGATTGGTTTTGTGTTTGTTTATATTCATGTTTTGTAGGTTTACAAGTGAAGTTGGACAAAAGAGATGTCTTTGAATGGAAAAGTACGCCCTGATTGTTATTATGCATCTAATCCTTATCATGAATGCACTGATACCTGCTTGAAGAGGATCGCTGAAGGCGGGGGCCGTACGGATAGAAAGAAAAAAGGTAATTTCCATTAGAATTATACACCATTAATATACATACATATGTATATTTATATATATGCCAAGAAGAAAACATGTTACTGTTATTCAAGTTTTTCGTTGCTCTACTGTTTACTTATTGAAAAATGAAATAAAATATATAAATAAAAGAACAACGACTTTTGCTCTGCTTTTATTGAAAGTGAAAAATGGTTATGGGCCCTTTCTCTTTTTCCCATCTGACAGCATATTAAACTTTCCCTGCATTGTTCTGATGTATGAATAATTCAAATAATTTGCTTTTCATTTTGGTGACTGCCCGTCATAAGATCCGTGATTGATTTGGATATGAAGATCACATTGTTTTGTGTGTACTATGGTCCTCTTTTCGTATTCGCAGTACTGTTATGGAGCAATGATGATGCACATCATGAAATGAACATTATGAATGCACACGCGGCATATTCTTTCATGATGTGTATCATTTTTCTAAAGGATATTTATATTTTTATTCCCAGCGTCTTGAGGTTATTAAAAAATTATGTCTTGCATTTTAAATTGCTGTATTTTTATATCTTTATATTGTTAATTTATGCTTCATGTATACCACTTCTCAGTCAATTGTCTGTTTTGACCTGTGAACTTCTGAGAATGTCCTTTATGATTAATGGTGTATTACTTCTATCCTTGTAACCGAACAAAATTAATAATTTCTGATTAAGGTTATTCTTGAAATTTCACATGTAAAAATGGAAAATTGACTGACAAACGATATAAAGATATAGCGATATAGATTGAGCATAAATTGACAATATGAAGATATAAAAGTGAAACAGTTCTAAACACAGGGTATAATTTTTAATAACCTCGAGACGTAGGTACAAAAATGTAAATTTCATAATTTTAAATGAGAATTTCTAGATGTTGTGTTCAAGATTAAAGGAATAGTAGATCTTTGCAGGGACAGTGAATTATTGGATTGGAAAGTGTATCTCATGTATTTCCATTGAAAAGTACTGAACATAGGTGCACAATTTGGATTTTTTTTTTCTTCTGTTAAGATAATGGCAGTGTTAAAAAAGGTGGTGTGCTCAACAAAAAGTATGACGAAAAAAGAGTGCACCAAGCATGCACTAAGGCATCTAATCCTTACCATGAATGTAATCAAAATTGCGTCAAAAGAAATGCTGGAGCTGAAGGACAAGAGGGAATAAAAGAATCAGGTTTTCCCTCCTTTTCTATATGCTTTTTTTAAGGATTGTAAATTTTGCGTTTAAAGTGCATTAATGAGGAAAAAGGGCAAAGAAGGACAAGCAATTCTTAATGGAAACAGTGTGGGTAATCGAACTGAATAGTCGAGAGAACTAAGCAGTATGGGAGGCCTCTTAGAAAAATGGTCCTTTGCTTCTTGGCTGATCTTTTTACCTTTGCGTAGTTCTGGAAATAAATCTTATGTCTTCATGTTTGATTAGTCATGTTGGCGCTTTGATAATGTTTTGAGTATATATGATACTTTGGATTCTGATTGCTGTTATTTTTCGATGTTTTTGGATGAAATCAGACTGATGTTTTGATAGTTTAGAATCAGATAGATGCCTTTTACCAAATTACTTCTCATTACTGTAGGCTCCCTCCTTAATATAAAGTTGGGAAGGAAAAAGATGACGGAATCCCGAACAATGCCACCTCCTCGAGAGATTGTAAACACACCCACCCGAGATAGAGTCTACAATTCCAGTGCTACAATGCCCCCGGCACGTTTCCCTCCTTCAGACAAGATTGAACAACAGAATGGGAAGCATTATTCTTCTGATCTACAGTCTGGAGAAATTCACGAGGAAGATCCTCCTTTCATTGACAAGCTAGCTCATTTCCCATATCTGGCACCTGCATCTGGAATTCTCACAACGGTTTCTTTCCCCCCCTCTCTGTCAGGTTATTTACCAATTTCGGTGTATGATCGCTTTTTTACTTAATATAATCATATTCTTCCCTTTCTGACAGGCTGATCCTCACAATCCTTACAAAGACCCGCCAAGGGAAGCTGTTAAATCCAATGATAGTGAACCACCACTACATCAGAAGGGGAACGAAAACCATAATGAACTGTCTGGAGCAGGTCCACACCCCATCAATGGTGAAGCGAGAAAAGGAACTACCGGTTCAGCCCCAGGGGCCTTGAGCTTTACTTTCTCAGGTATAGTTGATAGTGATGATGACGAAGTTCAATCGGTAACGTCCGATGCTAGTGTGTCAGTGGGAAAATACCGCGTTAAGGGAAGGTTGTCTGCCATTATGCATTCGATCTTCGACAAGTATGGTGACGTAGCAGCGGGTTGTCAATTAGAATCAATCGCAATGCGATCTTATTATCTAGAATGTGTGTGCTTTGTGGTTCAAGAGTTGCAAACTACACAAACAGCGCAGCTGTCAAAGAACAAATTGAAAGAAATGTTAGCTATTGTCAAGGACGCAGAATCTATAGGAATGGATGTCGGTTGGCTACGGCGAGTGCTCAGTGAAAATGCAGAAACCCTCGAGCTGATCAGTCAGCATCAAGCCATGGAGGAAGCGAAGACAAATTGCGAGGATGACATAAAATCAATGAGGAAGAAACTAGAATCTCAGATGGAGGGTTTGGCTTTGAAAGAGGAGGAGATTGCTGATGCCCAGAGGGAAATAGCTGAAACCAAAGCCCATCTGAGGGAGTTGGAGCTGAAATCTTCAGTTCTGACTGATACTGTTAGTTCTGTTAAGTCCAAGGTTGAAGCTCTCAATGGCAAATCCATGTTGGATGGAGTCTTGTGAAACAACCGCAAAGAAGTTAGTTTTTTTATTGAGTTTTTTTTTTTTTTTTTTTTTTTTTTGTGTAATTCGTTGAAGGTTAGGGTCATTCCCTTTTCATAGTAACCTATGAAACAATAGAATACGCCATAAGGCTTTAAAGTTATGTATTTTATTCTTTTAGTACAACTGTACAAGACGTTAGTAAGTGTTTGGTATTGAAGGCGTTGTCTACGTTTAGTTTTTAAAGAACTGTCTATTTCCTTCACAGGGAAGAATGAAAAATAAAACCGTCTTCCTTATTCCTTTAGAATACACTCGCACAATCAGAAATCAAACCTTTCTTGTTTATTTTCCTCTTTTTTTTTTTTTTTTTTTTTTTTTTCCTTTTTTTTTTTTTTTTTTTTTTGCAAATTTACTAATTGAACTACTGTTTTCCCAAAGAATCGAACCCCTTTGTTTCACAAATTTAAATCACAGTTTAAATCTTCTTATTACAAATTTTTTTTTTCATATAAAATTTAAGGATTGTTCTTTTGCATTTTTGAATTAGAGTGATTTGAGTAATGATCTTAAGTTAAATTTGAGTTGAAATTGTAACTTGAGTTTGTGTTTAGATATGCATATTTAAGTTGTGATTTGAATTGAGAATCTTTTTGAGTTTGTATTTAGGTTGGTCAAAATTTAAATTTATATTTAAATAGTATTTTACTAAAAACTCAAATGATTTGAATTGAGAATCTTTTTGAGTTTGTATTTAAATTGGTCAAAATTTAAATTTATATTTAAATAGTATTTTACTAAAAACTCAAGGGTAATGAAAAATTTTAATAAGGTATATGAATGAGATTTTATTCGTCTTTTCGTTGTGAATACATAGAAAAAAAATCATCTCAATCAGAATTAAAACGAAAAAATTATGACATTTTTAAGAATGAAAAAAATATTATTCATTAACTTGAGTTCGAGTTTATGAACTCGAGTTGAAGGGAAAACTTGAACTTGAGTTTAACCCTAAACTCGAGTTCAAATTCAAGTTTTACAAAAGAACATCCCGTTCATTTCGATGATTTGAGTTTAGAATTCGAATTTTGTTACAGTAAAAAGCTCTCACAAACAATCACATCTAACTTTTTTACTACAGTAAAAAGCTCTCACATAAAATCACATATTAACTCGAATTAAAAACTCGAATCAGCGAATTAAACGAGAACTTAAATAAAATTATAACAAATTTTTTTTGAGTCTTAAATTTTTGTTAAAAGAATTCAAATTTCTGCTCAAATTTGAGTTTCATTTTTCCTCTTTTTTTGGTTGACGATCCACTCAACTGATTTAAGCAGGAAAACAAACCGGAGCAAAATCTGTTAACCATAACCTTTTTTTGAACTGCCAAATGGTCAGAAACCGAATTGCAAAATCTCCCTCCAAAATTTCTACTTGGTCACTTGTTGTTCCCTATTTGTTAAAACAGAAGCCACAAAATCGTCCATGGCCTTAAGAGCAGACCCCTTCTGCTCTCCCTCCTCTCTAATGGCGGCCCTTATCTTCAACTTAATCTCCTCCGCCCTCCTCCGCATCTCCCCTCCCTCGCCGCCCCCATCCATCACCCTGCTGATCACCGTTCTCACTCGCTCTGCCGTGATGTCGCCGCTCTGCGCTCCCCTCGTCAGCTCCACGCACACGCCCATCTCCTCCACCAGCATCTTCGAATTGTAGGCCTGCTCCGCCGCAATCGGCCACGCCACCATCGGCACGCCCTGGCTCAGGCTTTCCATAACCGAATTCCACCCGCAGTGGCTGAGAAAAGCTCCCGTGGAGCGGTGCGCCAAGATGTCCAGCTGCGGCGCCCAATTCCTCACGAGCAAACCCCTCTTCTTCTCCCTCATTCGCTCCTCGAACTTCTCCGGCAGCCACTCCGACCTGAATTCCCCTCTCAGATCGAACCCCATCGGAGGCCTAATCACCCAAACGAACGCCTTCTCGCTCTTCTCCAATCCGATCGCCAATTCCATCATTTGCGAAGCGCCGATAGTGTTCTGAGAGCCGAAAGAGATGTACAGAACGGATTTCGATTTCTGCGATTCGAGCCAATCGAGGCAATTCTCCGCGGAAATGCCAAATTCTTTCCCAGCTCTGCGTCTGGAAATAGTATGAGACGACGAAGAATCGTTCAGAGCGGCTTGGGGAAGAAGAGGACCGACGCACCAGACGGGGAGATTGAGGTAATTCCGGAGGATCTCGAGGCCGAACGGCTCGATTTCCTCGACGGTGTTGCACAACCAAGCGTAAGATTTCAGACTGAGCGAAATCTGCGGCTGAAAAAACATAGACCAGGTGTCCGTACCGTCGGCGGCTCTAAGGAACGGATGAAGCTGAGTCCGGTGGAAACGGCACCGCTCCGGAAACCCAGGCATCGTGAACTCGTCGAAGTCGGTCTTTCGGTGAGGGAGGTGGAGCCAGAGAGAGACATACGCCGCCGTGCCGTAGGCTCCGCCGGTGGAGAAAGCGACGTTGACGGTGTCGAAGCTCCTGGCGACGTCGACGGCCCAGCCGAGGAAGACGTCGGAGATGATGCAGAGCGGAGGGCGGCCTCGTTCTTGGACGGCGCCGCGGAGGAAGTCCCGGCAGGGAGGTTCGAGGCTGCGGGAGGCGTGGAACAGGTGGGCGATCTTGGAGAGAGGTAAATTCTCGGTGTTCTCGGCGTTGGGGGACAAGCCGTGGTCGGCGCCGGAGAAGGGAAGCTCGATGAACCGGATGTCGGCCGCGGAGGAGACGGTGGATTTCAGGTAGTGGACGTTGAGGGTGGTGGTGGCGATGAAGACGGTGAAGTTGGTTCGGAGATGGATTTGGTTGGCCAGTGCGAGGAACGGGATGAGGTGGCCGTGCGCCATGAACGGCAACATTACTATGTACTCGTCGCCGCCACTGTGATGCTGAGAACCCATTTCGGAGATTTTTTTTTTTCTGAAAAGAATTTAATTGAGGGATTGAGAAGAGAAGAGGGTGCGAGAAAGTGGTGGTTTTTGAAGGATGGAGCATATACGAGAAGAGAATAGATGCGACAAAGTTTAGTGGGTGTGGAGATGTGGAGCTCTAGAGTTCATCAGTTTAGCCATTCGAGAGATAATTAATATTAAATAGCGATAAGATCCATGGAAATGAATCAATGATCATGTCGACTTATTACTGGTTGTTGTTGTAGGATTTGAGGTTGACTCTCTCTTTGTTCGTACTCGAGGTTTGGCTTTGAGCATAATTTCACTCGTTTTTGTAAGTACTGTTCGAAGTTTTTTTTTTTTTTTTTTTTTGAAAAATGTAGCATTGAACTTTGTAATCTATATGATAGTTAGTTTGGATTATAAAATTGTCTTATTTTAGCTTTGAAAATTCCAAACATGGGTTATTTTTTCATCCTCCCCACGTCCTCTTTTTGTACGTTGCTCTCTTATCAAATAAAACCATAACTTCGTTATTATATATATATATATATATATATATATGTTATTTCAAAAAACTTATAAATTTTATATTTAAATAAAATTCCTAAACCTTTTCCTTTCAATTTTCTCCAACAAACGCCACCTGAGCAAACTTACCTTTATAAAAAAAAGTTAAATTTATTCAGCAAAAAAACTCCTAATAATTAAAATTAAACTGAAATAAAAAAATAAGCGTGTAACACAATCTAATAAAAACTATTATACTTAATTAAATAAAACTTTTCCTATTTTACGTGTAAATTGGTAATATATTTTTTTAACATAACTACGCAGTAGCACGTGCCCTAAGCACGTAACTCATGCCAGTTAAAATAAGAAACGCGTACAAACTCAAACAACGTCAACATAACAAACGACAATCCCATCAAAACGACATAAATGAGAAGAAACGACATCAACATGAACCACATTAAATGGGAGAAACGACCGGCATAAAAAACGACATCAATATAATAAAGTAATAAACGGCAACAAAAACGACAAAAAAAAAAAAAAAAAAAAAAAAAAAAAAAAAACCAACCGATACCCCGTTTGGAATCGCAAATTCTGATTCGTCATAATCGTAATTTCGGCAAACAAAGCCCTAAATCTGCAACTGAGAGGTACCACAGACTACAGAGCATAGCCTAGCCATCGAAGCGAAATTCTCTCAGGTTTGTCGCTCTCATCCTCCTGGTTCATCTTTGCTTTCTTCACATTCGCCAAAAAAAGGAAAAAAAAAGTAGTTTATTTGCTCTGGTTTTTCGGGTTCTGTTTCAGCGATTCTGATTTTTCACAAGTTGATGGAAAATAAACGAAATTAGTCAGGAATTTTTTTCTTATTGGCAATTTTATCCGATATTTGGAATTTACAAGCTCCAATGTTAGGGTTCTAAGTTAGCGTGAGAAATTGTTCGCCGATGAATTTGTTATCTCGTATTTTTACCCTTTTTATCTCCGGAAATCAATATATGGCTTTTAAGTTTTCTATCAGAAAGATTGCGGCTTTTGGGGGATTCGGTAAATTACCATAATTTTGATAATTAGGAAAGAGAAACCTCAATCTAAATCATGATATTGTAGCCTTGTTGGATTTAAATTATTTTTCGGAAGAGATTTCTGATTGATCTTAATTTGAAATTTCATAGGGTTTTGGGGAGGAATATAAATTAAAAGTCAGGTTAGAGGAGTTTTGCGTTTACCAGAATCTTTCTTACAAAATGACGTCTGAAGAAGGAAGAGTACACCCAGATTGCAGAAATGCATCGAACCCTTACCATGAGTGCAGCGATTACTGCTTCAAAGTTATTGCTGAAGCCAAGGCTCGGATGCCTCAGAATCAATCAGGTTCGGTTTTTTTTTTTTCTTTTTTCCTTTTCTTTTCTTGTACTCCGTTTCCTAATGCATTGTTTGCTGTTTGATAACTCCTAGTTTGGACATCAATAGTTTTGTCTGTTTTGTTTCTAATGTTCTAGTTTTTTTTTTTTTTCCATCATTATTGGGTCTCACTTTCTTGTGAATTTCATGTTGATTAAGTCCTAGTTTTAGGTTTTTATATGCTTGCCTTCAGAAAGTTTGGGCTTCTTTTTTTACTTTATCAATAAGTTTTGCTCTTCCCTCTACTGAAATTTATGTACATAAGCTGTTAAGATTTTGGTATGAGCCTAAGGGAGTTGATTTTGTTGCAGAATTTAGCTTTTCAAAGTTTTTTACAAACACAATTCAGTTCTTTTTCGAATTTAGAGTCTGGTGCTGTTATCTTGTAACTTTCAAGTGAGTTCAATTTGCATTCTTGGATCATGGAAACTATGTTGGATCTAGACTTAACTGCCCTGTTTACTGGTATCATTATCAGAAGGGGTAAAAGCAAGTGGTGACTCCAACTCAGGGGCTCTGCATCAGGAGGAAGATGTTTCCGAAGAAAGACCAGATTTTGGAGAACAATCTGATGATAATGATGACCATCCTGCTGAAAGACTTCCAGATGTTTACTGGGAGGAAAAAGAAGTTGTGGGAATTGAGGCAGAAGATGGTGAGTTTCTTTTTTGGAACTTCAAATATTACTAAAGCTTGGTTGGAGTGGAAGTGAAATTATTTCGTTATGATCATTTACAAACTTCTAAACCTTGTGGAATCGGCTATGGTTATGGATTTGTGTATGTAGAATAAAGCGAGAAAAGACAATCAAAATGACATTGCGGCTGAAAGGAAACGAATGGAAGCTCCAGCAGAGTCAAGAGGCATTTCTAAACAAAAATGGCTCGAGGAGAGGAAGAAAAGAATTGGAAAGCTATTAGATGCAAATGGTTTGGATATGAAAAAGGCATACATGCTAGATACGGAAGAGATGGCAGAGACAAAATATAAGAAATGGGAAAAAGATCCTGCCCCATTTGGTTGGGATGGTACGTTCATATCTGTGCTCATTTATCTGTTGCTTTTTTTTTCTTCATCTGGCTGGTCATGTTTTGATCTGAAAGCAAAACTAATATGACGTATGTTCTCTTTTAACAGTTTTTAATCAGAAAACCCTTTACAATGCATATAAAAAGCGGACAAAGAATGTTGAGGTTGATTTGGAAGAGTATAACAGGATGAAAGAAGCCGATCCAGAGTTCTACCGTGAAGCTTCAAGTCTCCAATATGGAAAGGTATTGTCTACGTCTGAGTGTATTTGCAGTATAGATCTAACTAAGATCAGGTGCTAATAAGCCTTTTGGTTTTTATTGTCCAGGCTCCCAAGATCTCAGAGGAGAAGATAGATAAGATGGTGAAGGAACTCAAAGACCGAGACGCGAAGCGCAATTCATTTAGCAGGAGGAGGAGGTTTCACGAAGAGAAGGATATCGACTCAATCAATGACCGAAACGAACACTTCAACAAAAAGATTGAGCGAGCCTTTGGTAAATACACGCTGGAGATCAAGAACAACCTTGAGCGTGGCACTGCTTTGCCTGACTAGGGGGATAATCCGTAAGATGTTCCAGTGTTCTTATTCCCATCTAGGCTTTAAGAGTACTCATCTGCCAGACATGGGATGGTCCGAGTGGGATTCTGGTGGTTTTCAATACTGGTAAATGTAATGATAAATATTTGCCTTAATAGAAGAATGAGAATCTGTAGTATTAGCTTACAGTTCACATGTCGCTAGTACATGTTGATTGGTGATAATATGATGATTTTGTTTAAATCTAATGTTGCAATCTATTATAGATTACTGATATCTCTAGTATTGCTGCTTTCTTGGAAGATGACGGCCTTTAAGACTTTGTAGCAATTGGAAATTCCATCGACCTGTGACCGTTATATAATCCCCAACTTTACCTTTACATGTATAAACCCGCAGTTTCTTGTTTAGAAAAGTAAAATGGGGTTGCATATGAACCTAGAAAATAGTCCGTTGGAAATATCATCAGTAATCTTCCTTAAGATTTCCAGGCTCGTATTATTTTAGTGAAACAAAAAGGAAAAAGAAACACGATCAAGGCATGGGTAAATAACGAATGCAATGTATTTAAGATCGAAAAAATACAAATAAAAAAGAAGGAAATGTACTCTGTTACTCACTTCTTTAGTTTTGTATCTTTTTCTTAAAATGTTGTCCGTCTAAGTTAATATATAGGGAAATCTTGAGTATTTCTCTTCTATCGTGATATTTGTCCTCCCCTGAGCCCCTCTCTTTAAATATTAATTTATTTAAGAGGATCAGAATTTTAAAAGAATTAACACAAAACTAAAATGTGGAGTTAAAAGGGTACATTTCCTAGTTGTTTCTTATTTACAAGAGAAGAAAATGAGGACAAATGCAATTTATTTCATTCTCTTTCCTGGTAGATTAAGGTTGGGTAATGGGTACTAGCCGTAGTTGTATATTCGAATGTCAAACTCTCTACAAGCTGTATTTTTCTTATTCAACATCTATTAAGTTAGATTCAAATCATTTCACAAAAAATGAGCTCGTTTAGTTCGCTGATTTGAATTTTTAATTCGAGTTGAGATGTGACTGGTTCTGAGAGTTTTTTACTGTAATAAAAAAATTAAATGTGATTGTTTCTGAGAAATTTTTACTATAATAAAACTCAAATTTTAAACTCAAATCGGTGAAATGAACAGGACCAATCCTCTAATTACAAGGGATAGCTTGCTTCCCACATGCATCACCGGCCCATCATCCTATTCGCGCTCTTTATTTATTTATTTATTCGCTAAATGTCGTACTTCTCAAGTTTATTACTGTTCCTCACCCTCTTAAAGAAAGAAAAAAGACTTTTGGAAGTTTCTTGCCCTAGCAAGGGACACGGTAGGGAAGCCCAAGGAGACAAGAAATAGATGCATTAGCCATTCGGTGATACTAGTACCATTATATATGTCGTGCAATTGGTTCCTACCACCAAACACTCTGTAAAATAAGATCACGTGTGTTTTGTTTATAAAGAGTGAACATTATTTTTTCTTCCATCGCCCAAAAAAAAAAAAAAAAAAAAAAAGAATAAGAACAAGTATATGATAGAACATCTTTTACTAATCTCTTCAATTTGCCAAAGAAGCATGTTTTGAAACAAAAGTATTCTCTTATTATTGCTTAACTGGCATTCTCGTGAAAAAAGAAGACCCATGCCTAACGCTGTCCAATGCCAGCTCTGATCTTTAATTTTGACCCTAAAACGGCCCAGGACCACATTCTGCACTCTCTCTTTCTCTCTCTCTCTCTCTCTCTCATATATATATATATATGTATATATATTTATATAGGTGGCTTCAGTCATCAGTGAATCGTGAAAAGACGAGACCATGATCCCTCCTCAGACATCAAGCCAATAAAAATAATGAATGGGAGAACCCTTTTTATTTGTGAGAATTTTTTTAGTTGAAAGTCATGATGAAAAGATAAAATGAGAATCATATGTGGTTTAGAAAAAGATTATAATTTAACGAAATTTAATTTCACCTATTTAATACTATACTTAATCAATAGTGTGTATTTTCATACTACAACTTGCAAAGTTATTCTTTCAATTTCTTATTTTGTTTTCATGATGTAATATTTCACCCGATCTAAGGAAATGATCCAATGGATAATGAAAACGGGTCAAAATTACAGAACATAATTAAAATATAATTAAGGAATGCAAAACAATCACATTTTTACCCACAATTTGGCCTCGTTCGTTTCGATGATTCGAGTTTAGAATTTGAGTTGAGATGTGATTGTATGTGAGAGCTTTTTACTGTAGCAAAACTCGAATTCTAAACTCGAATCAGCGAACCGAACGAGGCCTTTAAATACTATTGTTGGCTCGTTTATCATTTTTAAATTAGTTATTAGTTACAATTAGCAAAGGGAACATCTTTTTTTTCTTTTTTTTTTGAAATCCAGGACTTATCAGCTTTTACCCACCCATGTGATGATGTCCTGAAGCAATCTTTATCTTACTGTTGTGTAAGGGACACGTGTCGCAAACAAGAATAAAAGACATACAGGATTCCTATCCCATCAGTATCATCTCTCCGGAGGGTTCTCCTTTTTTTTCTCTTTTTATATTAGATGAATTCCATTCATCCTTTGGACTCTAGTCTTAAAGTAGGCAAACATTAGTCAAAATCAGTTTTTGCCAGCATTTCAAGAAAAGAGGAAAGAGCTTTCCAGATGGGTTAAATCAAAAAGCTGAGTTTTTCACCTCTGGGCCCCCCCAACCACCACTACCCCCCATCTTCTACTAATCTTTTGGGTCATTTTTGCTTCCACCAAATTACTCAACTTTTACCCTTGTTAATCAACCTTTTTTACTTTGTTGGATCATCTTGGCTTTCACCAAATTAACCTATTAATAATGAACTTTTTACTTTGCTGGGTCATTTTTGCTTCCACCAAATTACTCAACTTTTACCCTTGTTAATCAACTTTTTTACTTTGTTGGATCATCTTGGCTTTCACCAAATTAACCTATTAATTAACTTTTCACTTAGTTAGGTCACCTTTGCTTTCACCAAATTAATCAACTTTTACCCTCACCACGTTCAGCACTCAAGGCGGCCTTGGTAGTGAAAATGAAAATGAAAATGACTTTTAGTAGTAAATAATTGATTGTGTTTTGCCCTTATTCTCTTTGGAGGATTAAGCCGATAATAATTTTATTTAAATTCACATTTTTTTTAATTTTAATTTTATTCAACTTTATTCAAGTTACAATTTTAACTTAAATTATATCTCAAATTACACTAAAATACATTTGAAAAGAACAACCCCAATATATATTCGAGAAAGAAAGAAGCATATTCATGATGAAGGAAAGAAGAAATTAAAACATCATCACCGCTCCTCAAGAACAATGAATACAAAAGGGGATCCACAAAGCTAGCAAACAAAAGATTAAATTATATAAAAGATATTAAGGAAATTAACAAGAAAAATTCAAAAGGAGGGTCATCACCATCATCAACATATTCTCCTGATATTTCATCATACACACAAACAAACGAAATAAATTAAGAATTAGGAAGGTGTGACAACACGATCTTTTCACATTTCTTCCTTCTCTACTGGGGGAACGTGCATGCATAATGTTTTTATAATTTCCTCAGTTGGTTGGGTTACTGCGGAACGACCCAAGAGCCTTTATGGCTGCTGCCCTCAGTATGTACTGGTGGTACGCCGCTGCTGCCAAAGCCCCCACGAATGGTCCAACCCAGAAGATCCACTGCCAAGTAAAACCATAACAAATTCATCAGAATATATCTTACCCCACACAAAATATACATAAAGATGTATGATTTCTTACGTGGTCATCCCAGATCTTGTCGTTGTTGTAGATAACAGCAGCACCAAAGCTCCTAGCCGGGTTGATACCGGTTCCGGTGATGGGAATGGTGGCCAAGTGAACCACGAACACGGCGAACCCAATTGGCAACGGGGCCAAAACCTGAAACCCATTTGAAAAAAACGACACTTATATACTAAAAGCGACACTTAAATCTACCATGCATGAACCCCAAAAAGCAGAAAAGAAAAGACGTACGGGAATGTGAGAGTCACGGGCGCTTCTCTTGGGGTCGGTGGCGGCGAAGACGGTGTAGACAAGGACGAAGGTGCCGATGATCTCAGCGCCGAGAGCGGTGCCAGTGCTGTAGCCGTCGACCACGAAGTTGGCGCCGCCGCCGCGCCTGTTGTAGTCGTTCTTCATGAAGGCCTTCACGAGCCCAACCCCGCTTATTGCTCCCAAGCACTGAGCCACTATGTAACCCAATGCTCTGATCAGCGAAACCTTCCTCGCCAAGAACAGTCCGAACGTCACAGCCGGGTTGATGTGACCACCTTAAAAAGTGAAGACCCAAAAAAAAAAAAAACTCATTAGTACTGAGAAATGAAGAGTTCGGAAAAGTTGACCTATTTTTCCTTCTTTTTTTTGAATTTTTACCGGAGATTCCGGCGGTGCAGTAGACGAGGATGAAGATCATGCCGCCGAAGGCCCAGGCGATGCCGAGGAGGCCGACGCCGTTGCATTGGTCGGCAGCGTTCTGTTTCTTGTGGCCGATGACGGTGGCGACGGTGACGTAGAGGAAGAGCAAGGTGGCGATGAACTCGGCGATTAGGGCTCTGTAAAACGACCACAGCTTAAGCTCCGCCGTGTCGATCAGCGGCGCCGGCGGTGGGTCCACATAGTCCTTCCCGTGGTGGGCTTGCCCTTCCTCACTCACTTCCTTCGACATCTCTTCTTTCCTTTCCTTTCTCCCTCTAAGTTTCTCTCTCTAGCTACGAAGTCTGGAGAACACACACACTCTCTTTCTCTCTCTCTTTCTCAGATACTGATGATGAGCAACAGCTTTGTCTGAGAGCTCTAGGGTCAGTCTTTTTATGGATAAGGCGAGGGTAGTTTTGGAATTAAGAGATGTAAAATTTTTTTATGGATGGATGGATGGGATGTATGTTTGTTTAGGAGAGAGAAAAGTGGTGGGGACCACAAGAGGAGTGTACAGCGAAACCATGTGAGGAGTTGGGGGTAGGTGCTGAGGTGTCACAGGTCATGCTTGGCAATCCAACTCAAACCCCACGCCTGCTCCAACGGTTACATGCTGTCCCTTTCTCACCACCTCTCCCCCCCTCTCTCTTTATCCATTTCATTCATTCATATTCTCAATCATGTCCCCTCTCTCTCTCTCTCTCTCTCTCTCTCTCTCTCTCTCTCTCTCTCTCTCTCTCTCTCTCTACTCAAGTCCTTTCTCTCGTCTCTCTTCTTCCTTTTTTTTTTTTTTCCCTTTCCGTTGAAAAAAAGGGATTATCTGTGATCTTATGCTCTACTCTAATCTTATGAGGTATTTGTTTTAAGGATCCTTCTTAATTTTAAATCATGTTTTTTAATTTTTTATAGTATTTTTTTATCATAAAAATTTAAATTATAAATTATGATTCTAAACTCATAAAAACGTCCCAACATATCTAAACTCACTTTAGTCCAAAGCATATTAATTTTGACCTCATCATAAACAATGAGAACAAAAAAAAAAAAAAATTTGTGAAGCGTTTCTTTCTATTATTGACACCCGTCATCTATTCATCCACAATTGTTATTTGCTAAAATTAAAAGTTTTTTTTTTTTTTAAGGGAGAGGTCGTATTTGGTATAAAAACGGGAGAAAATAAAACAAAAATCACTTCCCTTGTTCATTTTCTACAATTATTATCTTATCCTTAGTTGATTTGATTTCATTCAATAAAGAGGAGTAGTAATAAAATTTCATACCATGGTCTAATTAAATGGATATATCCCTAGATAAAAAAAATCCCACCAAAATGGAAGAAATCAAAATTGACAATAGTTCATAAAACTTTTCCACTAGCAAAGCATGACTGTTAAGATCATCGGTCAAACAAAGTATCGTTTTGAATTGAGGATTCTCCTAATTATTCTTGAATACTATGTATATACATATCTCGTAATTGGAGAAAACATACCAAATAATATGTTTCAGAATTCACAAATATACGTATATATGTTGTATAAATATATACATATATATATATATATACATATATGCACAGCATTGTCCAAGTACGAAATGTATAAGGGATGCTTTTATATATTAAAAGAAGTACAAAATACATAATGAGTTAATCATGGATTCATAGGGTTATAATTATGTGAGTCCAAATAGAATTAGTTGACATTTATGGATGTTTGCGAGTGTTTTTTTTACACTTATGGGTGAATTGGGAAGTCGGATAACTATGACCTTATAATTATAAATGATTTTCCTTATGTTTTGTTCTTTTCATTGGAGAATGGTGCATTTATTTAAAGCAATTTAAACTTCGTTGTGTTAGTAATGTTGAAATTTTAGACAGGCTGTCGGTGACCGTTCAAAAAAACCGAACTTGTCTGTTATTTGAGCCCATCCGCCTGAGAAATTCAGGCTGCCCGCCCAAACCCGAAGGACCTCTTGAATGGGCTTCGGGCAGGTCTTAGCTGCTCGAAGTCGGGTCGGGCAGCCCGAGTCCACCCGGGCTGACCGAAAATTTTTATTATTTTATATATAAATAATTATTAAGTTATTTATTGTAAAAATTATATAACAACTATAATTAAGATTAAAATCAACACACACTATTAACACAAATCAATTCAAAAAATTGTGAGAGAGATTTCAGATAAAAGTGAGATAGATTAAGAGAGATTGAGAGAGAATGTGAGAAATTTTGTGAAGGAAATATTTGGGGGAGGGGGGTATTTTTAGGGTAAAAAAATCAATTTTTTGTGTGAATATTTGAATCCAACTGCTATTTTTACCTCGGCGGGCCGGGCAATCCAGGCGGGCATGTCGGGCAATTCAGGCGGGCGTATCAAGCAATTCGGGCAACGGTAAAAAAAAAGAGCCGTTATTCTCGGGCTTTTTCAACAGTGGGTCGAGTCGGGCATAACGATAAAAAAAGAGTCGTTGAGCGGGCTTTAAGGCGAGCTTCGGGCGTGAAAGTTGAACAGACGACGGGCTTTGTCCAACTTCAAATTTTCAGGCTGCCCGACCTTGACTTTCTTAGCTAGACGAGCCTGCTCACCAAGCCTAAAAATACGGGCTTCAGGCAGACTAGCCGTCCAAAATTTGAGCACTAGTTATAGGCAGCTATTATTGCAAAATTATGTTCAAAAAGTTAGTTGATTTATTGTGCATAACTGTCTTGTCTATAAGTAAGATTCTCCCTTATCGCGAACACATACATACATATACATATATTGTATTGACATGCGCACATATATATACACACACACATATTATTGAGACTATCTAACTAATTAAAGCCAATCCATATTTGAAAGTTCTAGTAATATACTGCATTATTACACAACAATAAACTCACGTCATTAAATTAGTTTCCTTTCAATAAAAGCAACAACTTTAAGCATGCCCCCTTTATCCTTTACTTTATAAATGTACAGCGACAGTAGAATGTGATTCTCTAACGCATCTTTCATAAAAATCACTATAACTTCTATAAAATACATAAAATTATTTTATAATCCATATTGGGTGATGAATTTCATGTTAGGTTTACGGTTAAATAAACGTCAAAGCTTTAATTGTACTTTAGCTTATCAAAATTTAATTGTACTTTGCAATAACCCAATTGGGAAAGAAGAATGTGGTCCCCACCGTAACAGATTTAAATTACCAATCACGTACGCAAATTTAATGCTGCAATAATACACTCCCCACTCTCTTGATTACAGAGGACTTGAGCTGGACAGTGGACAATGAAAACACGACCACATTGACCAAAATGTCTCTTAATATTTTTTTTTAAGAGACGTTTAGTTCATAAATTAAATTCATGTGATTAAAATTATTTTTAATTTACGTGTATTT